CCGCAGTGTGGCTCGTGTGGGAGCCACTGGTCTGGTGACTCATCTAACACAAGCCCGCTAATCCAATGGCTTCCGCCACTGCTTCTGCTGCTCGTCTGGGAGGGCATGGGGTTGGCATGTGCATGGGCTGGGGCTCTTTCCAGTTGGGCAGGGCTGGGCTCACAGTGGGCAGCGGTGGTGCTGGGATGGGTAGGATGGTCCACCCCAAAATTCTTCAGAACAGCAGTTCCCGCACGAGCAGTGTGAGCTGCTTCCCTGCTCTCTGCACCCCACAGATGAGCCACCACTCAGTCCTGCACCCGCCCCGCCCCAGCTAAGCAGCACTTGTCCCAACCCCTTTCTCAGCCCCAGCCCCACTCCTCCCTCACCATGGGGGCTTTGATCTGCCCCCCCTGCCATGCCCCTTCCCTCTCCCCCCTTCCCTTCCACCACACCAGACTTACCAGCTGCACACATCTCTCCAAGCTGCCCAGCTGGTATCGGCGATCAGATCAGTTTTGGCCGACATGCCTCCTTAAAAATTGGCTATTGGTATCGGCCCCAAAAATTTCTATCGGTGTACCCCTAGTATCTACCTACCTCTCATCAGCATCATTTCATGCACAGAAGAATGAAAGTCCTTCAACCCAGAACTCCCCATCTACCTCCTACAGGGTTCTTATACTTTTTAATCATCAGTTCCTGATCACTATCAGAGACATGATGCTGGACTAAATGGGCTTTAGCTATAATTCATTATGTACTGAACATAATTCATGTTTTAAAAACATGGTAACCTGTGATATCAAAGGGCTAGTTTCAATCCTTACAGTCCTTTGCCCCTTGTATTTAGAAATAATGGTAATAGTTATGGGTGATTGGAGATGGAGTTAGAGAAATGTGTGAAAGGGATTATGTGATGTGATCACATGTGATAGCAGGGGACTGGACTCTATAATTCAGGGAGTCCATTTCAGTCCTATATCTCAGGAAAGAAATCAAAATAGTTAGGGAAATTAAGAATGCTTTCAAGTTCTTCAAACCATCATTTCTTCCATTTTCCAGAAAGCAGGATATCATTTTCAGTAGGAATTAGCAGAAGGGTGGCAAAGTACATGTATGTAGTACAGAGAAGGCATCCTGAATAAAATGAAAGGCCATAAAAAGTGTCAGAGGTTATAGAATCCTGATTAATAACATAGAATATACAATATTTGGGTTGCTGTTACCAGTCTTCTGGTTCACTTTCCAATTTTTAAAATAATTCTAATAGCTCCCATAGTTATATTAGTTTTGCATACACTTTGCTGATTGCACAGAGAGCACATCCTAATAGAGTGAGCAGTTTTGTTTGATTTTTGGTATATTGTTAAGTAAAAAAAGTCAACCTTTTTAGAGATATGGGTTTAAAAAGTTAAGCTCATAAAATCTATTTGTACTTACCTATATGGTCTGGTTTTCAGAAGTCCAGAACTTTTGACAAGCTTCATTTGCTTTTGCTCAGCATCCACTATTTAGAAAATGAAAAAACTTATTTAAGTGCCTAGATATGGACTTGGTAGAAAAATCACTTTAGACATCTCTTTTTTATAAATAATTTTTCAAATTTTGCAGCCTAAACATTATTTTTGCAATGTGATATTATCACATGTAGGTATTAATCACTTTACCTGCTTTTCAGAAACTGCCAGCTAGAGCTGTATATGACTTTAAGGCTCAGACCTCTAAGTAAGTATTAAAGTTCTGTTATTCTTTATTAATTATTTGTAAAATTGAGGAGCAGTCTTTTAAGAGTTCTCTCAAATAACTACCATTATCACCAATTTTCTAGCCTTGCAGAAGGTGAGACAATGGAAATAGTACATTTCTCTTGAGAGATCTGAACAAAGGGGCTGCATAGAACTCTGTTCTGTTTTAAGAACCTGAATTAATGTGCTAAGAAACTATTTTATTTTTTAAAACTCTTGAATGTTTAAATACTCAGTAATATCTCTTGAAAGGTAGGGACGTCCGTACATTCTTACCTTCCTGAGTACAGGTTCCAGAGCCCACCTCTTTTCTGTCACCTCTGTCATTCTTTAAAATCCACAGTATTTAACCCAGGTTTTTCTCATTAATGAAGATCTTGAATTGTGTCAGTTAAACAGCATTATCCATGGACAAGTTCAGTCTCAAGCTGAAGGACTATTTGAATGTACAGGAAGTTAGAAAACACAGATCTTGGGAAAATACATGGAGGAGATGAAAGAAAAAACATAGGCCAAGATTTTCAATATTGGATACCTCAGTTTTTGGTGCCCGTATACAAGTAATTTAACTACCTGATTCTCCTGAAAATGCTGCCAATCTGGACACCAAAAACTGAAGGAACCAAAATTACTGGTCACTTGTGCAAACCTTCATCAATGTATTTAAAGTTGGGTATTTTTCCAAGTAGTGTGCAGAACCAGAAACAGGTCAGAATTTAAAAATAATACACTGGGCTGAATTACGATCTCAGTTATATTCATACAACCATACTAAAACCAATGGGCTTATGTGGGTACATTTAAAGAATACAAACAAAAGTGGCAGAGAAAGGAAAATAATTTTCATCAAATGTATTTGCATAAAAATAACTGGGATAAAAGACTATTCAAAATGTGCACCAACAGTGCTTTATGCTAAAACAATGATGTCATAAACCCATAGGGCATCATAAAGTAAATTCAAAGGATTATTGTACACATCTATATTAATAATTTATATAAATACAGAATTGGTGTACACTGAAGATGTTTTTCTTCATGTATAATAAATTGATTATATATTAGGGCTGTGCGAAACTTTACTCGCTGATTCGATTTGGCAGAGATTCGGTGACCGAATCCGAATGGAGACCCTTTAATCTCTCCAAATTGAATTGGAACCCTTCAAATCAATTTAGAGAGATTTGACGATTTGGGCGTAGAAACAGCTTTAAACATTTTTTCTACATACCTCAAGGTACCAAGCGGCTCATGAATGCTGAGATGATGGGGCAGATGAAGCATCCCATGGGAGCACAGGGGGGCCTCCACATACTTAGCAGCAGACCCAGAAGTGGACCAGAATTACTTTTGGTCCAGTTTTGGGTCTGGTGGGGAGTGCAAGGGGGCCCTCCCCCACCCACTGGCTCGATGACTGGTGTCTCCTGGGTCGCCCCGTGGCCAACCACCAAGCCAGAGGAGCATGTCCCCGCCCCTCCCCCCCACGCACACTCCCTGGCAGACTTCTGGTCCACTTCTGGGTCTGCCATCAAGCTTGCGGGGGGGAGGGGGCGGGGGAGACATGCTCCTGTGAGACGCT